TGAAAATGGAAAACAATCGTTACTGGGCCGGGAAACAGCGATCAAACTGAACGTCTTAGCATTGGGATTACAGGTCAGCAGAGCTGAGTGCATTACTCCATTTCCCAAGTGGAAAGGAGTAACAGTCAAGTTATTAATTGACCCTAGCATCAGGCCCATACAACAGCCAATGAGACGCATACCGGCTGCCATCGAAGCTAAGGTACTGTCCAAACTGGAGGAGGCTTTAAGCAGTGACATAATAGAGCCAGTGGTCGGTCACAGCCCTTGGATCTCGCCTATCGTAATAGCTTTTAAAGAAAATGGCGACATACGGTTGTGTTTGGATATGCGGATGGCAAATCGAGCGGTGATGAGGGAACACTACCCACTGCCTACTTTTGAATCGTTTATGACAAAGTTGAAGGATGCTACATACTTTTCAAGACTCGATTTGAAAGATGCATATCATCAATTAGAACTGGATGAGGCAAGCCGACAGATAACAACATATACATATAACCTCAAGGAGTTTGTTCCGCTACAAACGATTAATGTTCGGAATAAATTCAGCCCCCGAGATATTCCAACGACGGCTTGAGGAGTTATTGGCACCATGCCGCAACGTTCATAATTATATAGATGATGTCATCATTTTTGGATCACATGAAGATGAGCATGACGAGACCGTCAGAAAAGTTCGGGCAATATTCAAGAATAATAATGTGGTACTGAATGACTCAAAATGCATTTGGAAAGCACACCGGTTAAGATTTGTAGGCCACATTCTATCAGACAAGGGTATTAGTGTCGATCCCGAGAAAAAAGACTCACTTCATTCCGGGACCCGAGAAATAAGGAGGAGACGAGAAGCTTCCTAGGTCTGGTCACTTACGTCGGGAAGTTTATTCCGGACTTAGCCGATTGCACAGAATCATTGAGGAAATGGTTAGGAAAAGACACCAATTTTGTCTGGGGCCCCAAAGAGAAAGAAGCGTTCGACGTTCGTTAAAAACACGCCTGACTGAGATACCCAGACTTTCATACTTCAATATAAAACATCGAACACGTCTGATTGCTGATGCAAGCCCGGTGGCACTGGGAGCAGTACTGCTACAATTCACAGAAGATAGCGAACCAAGTTTATGTCGTGTGTCTACTCCATGCCCAATGTCCCCGTTCCACCACCGATGCCTCTACCAGGCAGGCAACCAACCACCCCCAGCGGAACCCAGAGAAACAAGGCGGCGGCTGGAGCCCTAGCAGAAGCGATTGCGAGGCGGATGACCAAGCCTACTACATGCAGGACGATGCAAACGACGAGCTGCGATTCATGTTGCAGCAGCGGGAGCGACGCAAGGATCTCGATTGTGCCTTTTATTGCTGGTCTGGCTCGCCTATCGTGTTGGCGTGGATTCGGCAACCTCCGTGGGAGTCTAACGTTTTGTATTGTATGACGAAGGGAATGTCTTGGCATCTTGTTCCAACCAATCTCAATCCGGCGGACGTCGTGTCGCGAAGCTGTACCCCTAGAGAATTACTGGAGCATTCCCTTAGGGCTAATGGACCGCTATTTATTTTACAAAACTCGTCGGAATGGCCTTCCCTGCTAGATGTAGTAGATGATCTTCCGGAGCGTCGTTCCGCAGTTCTAATTGGAGCCGTTTGCTTTTATATTTCTATATCTCTATTTCGATACATGTTTCGCTTTATTTCGAATTGCAGAGCCAAAGCTTTACCTTCAGATCGTCATCTTTCCATTGAGGAGAACTCGGGGACCGTACTTCTCCTAAGGAGCATCCAGCAAATTCACTTAGCCAAAGAGTATGGGTTTCTTAGCCAAGGCAATTGGTGCACATCTGTGGTGGGAGTTAGGAGCCGCTCTTCAAGCCTCTCTTTGTTTATCTATGTATGTTATCTATAATCGTCAAAGCGACGGTATAAAGAAGCCGCGTTTTCGGCTTATCTCACCTCAGTTCAAAGCAATTACTTATCTCGCATACATTGTACGCACTAAATACAAAAAAACGAAACATTAAAAGGAATAGTTGCTCCAAATAAATATACATTTAAATTAACTTAACCTACTCGTGCGTTAATTAATTACAAGGGTGGAATATTTGTTGTCTTCAGTGATGGATTACCGCCTAGGCCCGTGAGGCCCGGGCCTAGGGCGGCACAGCTTGGGGGGCGGCAAATTTTTCAGAACGTCAAAATTGTAAATCTGATATAAAATAACGAAAAATCATTTTATTTATTTTATTTATTCTGATTTTTTTTTATATTACAAATAAATTTGCATGAAATAAAACGTAATTCATTTAACGATTAACTTTTTTTACCCGTGAGTGCAATACTGATAAAAAATATTTTATAACAGAAATAACTGAATATTGAAAAGCTGAGGAATTTTCAAAGCTCTGTTGACTTGTTGTATCTTTAGTAAAGTCAATCTTATAATTGAGACGCTTCTAATATTGAACAATGTTTTCTTATTTTATTTTCAATGATTTCGGTGTTTCATATATGAATTGATATATGTAAGTATTCATTTGAAATTCATATTTTTGTTCCTAAATAAAAATATTTTTATTCTTCAAAATGATTTCTATAGAATCAAATAAATATATTCCTTTTATCGTCAATTTTTTGAAAAATAGAAACAATTTGAAGAAAATAAAAATTTAATAACATTGATGTTTCATTTTCGCAATATTGGCAAGTATATTGACGCATATTAACACTTGTATAGCTTAAAGCAATAATTCGTAATTATTGTAAAATTTTATTAAAATTCAAGTACATATTTATGTATATATATATTCGACCGATTGATGTGATATAGTTGCATACATGTAATATTGTTGTGAGTCTGAATAATACATGAATTTTGATCCATAATATTTATTTAACCCGAAAACTTCAGGATGACGAGTCACGGGAAAATGAAAGAACAGCTTTCTTTGGAGAAGAAAAGTTTCGAACCAACGTTTACTATCCAATTTTAGATACTTTAAGTGTACAATTGACAGGACGTAAAAGTGCTTATCATTATCTTTATGAAAAGTTTAATTTTTTTGAAAATTCATATGAAATTGATACCAATGAATTAAAAATTCGCGCAGTGTATTCATTTGGATTGTTAACTCAACGATTCTCTAATAAACCCAAAAGACATTCGTTCCGCGCAGGGGACATACAATTTATTGCATTCTCAAAATCTTAATTTTTTTGAGTATTCTGGCTACGATATGTTCGGGAGAAAAATTTTTTCCACCTTGGAGAGAGCCAAAACTTATTTACGCGCAAGTATGGACCAAGAGAGACTCAATGCTTTACCACTACTGTCAATTGAAGCCAAACTAGTTCAAGAAATTGATTACCACGGTATAATTGATGATTTTGCCCAGACGAAAGCCAGAAAGAAGATATTTAGAAGTCAAGTTATACATTATAGTTTAAGAAAACTGACTGTTATTTATGTTGTTGATATTTATTTGTATTGTTTAACAATTATAGTTTTATGAAATAAATGTTATATCTAAATAATATTAACGGATTCAAAGAAATGAAATGTATTCTCTAAGAAGGGCGGCTAATCAGACAGGGCCTAGGGCGGCAAAATACTTAATCCGCCACTGATTGTCGTCCCCATAAACAATAGGAAAGATCGAAAAATTTATATAGAATTAAGGGCACAACTAGTGTGAAGTTTAAAAAAAAAAACAATTTTTTCATATTACCGTAGATTACACCTTTAAAAATATCATATTACAATTTCAAATCGATATCTCAAATAGTTTTTGAGTTATAGCAATTTAAAGAACTGCCGCTCTTATAGCAGTGCAAACGATCATATGTATTATCTTTAAACGCGTTTTTTTCGAATCAGCATTTTCCGAATTTCTCCATACAATGACCTATCGATTTTTTGATCTGATCAAAAATCGAATTTTGGGAGACCAAACTTTTCGGTAAAATTCGATGATTTTTTTTTTAAACGCCGCCATTTTTTCAATTTTTGATATTTTTTTTGTCGGAACCGCGATCCATCTATACGAAAAATTGGAAAATCTATATGACAATTAGTACCCACCCAAAATCTACCAGCGACCCGCCAGTGCACTGCAGTGGGTCGCGACACACACACTTAGGGAAATTCTGGTACAGACAATATTATCTAGTTTAACGAGAATTTTTTTTTTTTTAATTTCATCCACGGAGAATGCCGAAATCACTGCAGCAGTTAAGGACCTTTTTTTTAACGCCGTTGGAGATCGACTCTAACTTAAAAAATATTTAATTTTTTCTTTAAAAATTTCACTATATATTCTTAAAACATGAAAAAATACATTCTGAAAATTTTGAAATAATTGATAAAGTATTTTTTTTAATAAAAAAATTCGCAAAAATCACCTTTTTTAGGCCGTCACACTAGTTGTGCCCCTTAACGGAAATAAAATTATTACATCGTTGTTTTTCATCAGATAATTATGATTTTTGGAATATAGAGTTTTCTAACAACTCTTGAAAAACAAAATAAATTTCATCAAAATCGAACGACTATATCATATAGCTTCCATATGAAAAATAGTCGAAAATATGGAAAATTAATAGAAAAATCGTCATAGCTCCGACGTTGTTTAGCCTTTGTGTATTCTGTTCGAAATATTTGATGACTGCAAGGGTATATAAGCATCGGCTTGCCGAAGCTAGCTTCCTTTCTTGTTTTTTTTCGATCTTTTCTATAGCAGTTGTATGATAAAGTTATCCCATTTTGATAAACTTTTATCCAAAATTCAATAGTGGTTAAAAAACGCCATATGCAAGAAATCAAGTCGATATGATCAAAAACAACGGAGTAAGAATTTTTTATTTCATTCTCTCGTATAGGAGCTATTCGATATCGTCGGCCAATCCGGCCCGTTCCGACTTATATACTGCGTGCAATAACGTCACAACTTTTGGGAAAGTTTCAGCCAGATTGCTTCAAAACTGAGAGACTAGTTTGCGTAGGAACAGACAGGAGGACAAACGGATAGACGGGCAGACGTACGACGTAATTCGATTCAGATCGTGATGCTGATCAAGAATGGGGTCTGAGGTGTCCCCTCAAAATTATAATACCCTTTGCTCTGCAAGGGTATAACAACATATTTTTTTATGAAAAGTAAAAATTAATTTTAAACAGTGCATTTTTTATATTCGACCTATCATATTAGTAAATATTTTTTTGTTCATAATTAAATTAATATCACATAAATCAATGTTTTTATTTTGCAGATTTTGGTCCCAGGTCGTGATTAGTAAGTATTGACGATATTTATACCCTTGCAGAGAGTATTATAATTAAGCAAGGAGTTTGCCACGAAGTTAAGACACCTCAGACCCCAAAAAACCCCAAACCCCAAAAGACCCCAAAAGTTGTGTAGTTATTGCACGCAGTACAAAATTCGAAATTAATGGCTTAATCGGATGGCGCCCCACAAGCAAGTTGTGTTTTTATCAAATTTACATGGTGTGTTCACGCTTTTTAAAGTTGTTGATCTGAAACCAAATTTATCAAATATCATACATTTTTATTGATTGTATTTATAATAATTAATAATATTATTATTTTAAATGTCAAACACATATACTTTTTAATAAAGAATTTAATGGTATTTGATTAAATGAACAATGTTTATATATAACAAGGGTTAGAGCTTCGAATAATGAAATGTTATCTATATGATTATTAAAAAAGACATACAATAGTTAACAATAAAATTTTAAATTTAAGCCCCAAAGGATACGTTTTCAGTCATAGAGGGGAACCTTTAATAATAATTTAAGTTATAAGTTCTTAAATCAGCTTGTTCATATAGAACAAATTTTTTCCTTTCTATTTTGGGAAAGAAGAGGTTTTGACAAAGCGCTCGATTGTCCCAAGTTTTCATATTGTGTCTTTTAAGAAGTAATCTAATACTGGCGTATTTGCTGTGCTTTCAAAGCTTGTATTTACAAACGTTTATAAGTATATATTTATTTAAGTTATACAATTTTATCTTTTTAGTACCATCTTTTTACACAAATTTGTGACACAGTTATTCTTAGTAATATTGTGCTTAAAAGTGCTAATAAAAACTATTAGCTTATGCCAACCAAAAAAATTTGGCTTTAAAAAAATATTTTTAAAATAATTAAATATATATTTGTAAAACTATGAATACATAAGTTTAACACATATTCATGGTTTTAGATATAGAGTACTTTTATATTCTTGTTATATTGATTGCATCGTTTAAAGTTTCCATTCGTAGTAGCTGCTTTGTATCATTTTCAATTTCAGGAGATAGTCCAGCACTACGGTCATTTAAATAGGAAGTGTCTTCCTCCACAATTTTTTCGAGAATAACATCACCAGAGCTGTTTAAACCTAGAAACATTTTTAATATCTGTTTTCGCTGGGCTAATGGTATTTATTTTACCATTACGTTTAACTATCGGTCCATTGCATAATGTTTCTGTAGAGCCGCAATTCACCACGGCTAAGTCTGTGGGAGACGTATTCCGTCCGTTCTTTTGTAAAGCAACGGCTTTGCGAGCATGACGTGTGGTCAATACACCAGTTTCGACATCTCGCTCAAGTCGATGTCCTTAATAACATTGATTTAGTTTCTTTATGAACGTGAATTCACTATAAAAAGTATTACCAGAACGTGATCGAGTCAGCTGACGTTGAACATAGTCTTCAAGATCTTCCTCTTCCTTGCGACTTATAAGACAATTTAAAATAAGTAAAAATAGTCCCAATCCGAGGGAAAAAAGACCGGTGCAAGTTACTTCATTCCACCAGGCTGAACTAGAACCTAAACAATTGATATACAATTTACAGTAAACGTAGGTTTTTAATTATGATTACTTACTGAATACATTCCAGGACATTGTTTCATCTGGAATAATGCCAGCTCCGCAAAGAAAGACTCCGAAAACGACAAACACAATACCAATATGCAGCATTCCAATACTCGTAACCACCTTTATATAAAAAGTGAAAATAATTTAATTGTTCTTACATGTTTTAAAATGTTAACCTGGCTATCAAGCATTCCAGTACTGGGATTAGACGTTTGATGAGGATTGTGATATTTACGTCTCACAGATCCTGTTGGAGAATGAAAAGTTTCACCACTCTCAGAGCTTTGAGTGCTGTAGCGCCTTTCTCGAGCTCTTTTCTGTTCATCTCGTCGTTTTCGCTGCCGTTTAATGGCCATTGCAGAATGTATTCCTACCGAATGCATGTTTTAGGACTGAAAAGAAATTATTCCTTATTTTGTCAATCTTAAAAATTCAAATAATGCATTTAAATTATAAAAGAGTTTTACAGGTTAGTTAGTTAGTTAGTTATACACGATTAACAAATACCCACACCCAATCAGTTTTTATGCAGACGTGCATTTATTTCTCTTGTGCTCCGGAAGACAATTGTTAAACCGATATAAAATAAAAGTAAACGTCGAAAAGACGCTGCGATGAAAAGTCGCAAGTAAATATTTGTGTTTTTACAAAGTTTAGGCGCAGCGCCAACGTAAGCGTTGGCTCTAGCTGCAAAAGAGCAATGCATACTTCTCTCGACTTCTCTTCGTATCGACAGCAGAAGCACCAACAACAAAAGCTTCTGCAGTAGTCGATCCACCGCGATCGTTAACCCCAACACCTTCCAACGAACTCAAGCCTATTCATAACGAAAGGGCGCGCTCTCTTTCTCCATATATGTCAGCGACGGTGCAAAGCGGGGTAAGCGACAAATGCATTTCCCCTCTTCCTGGCCCTGCCTCACCCCAACTGCCCACATGCCTGGCCACGGTTACCAGCACAGGGACGTCATTAGCAACTGTAAATGCAATGACAACAACATCATCAGTTTCGTCTGTATGCCCGATACAGTCGATCGTTCTACCTGCTGTCCCAGCGGATTTATCAACTGCAGCTAGCGCAGCACAGATGCTTCAATTAAAAAGCAAGGTTCGACCATACTGGCATGGATCGCTACATAAACATTAAAAGAAAACTAAGCCCACAGGGCACGAAAATGGGTAACGTCGCAAAAGTCAATCGGGCTTCCCCAACCCAAGGAACTGTGCAAAACTCTAATACTGCAAATAGATTTGAACTTTTGGCTGACACGTCCGACGAAATCCCTTCTAAAGTCTTGGATACGGACAAAATGAAATCGAGGCCACCTCTGCTTTATATTCGAGAGAAAAACTCCAACAACCTTGTTAATATAATAATCGATCTGATTGGTGAAGATAGCGCCCACATAATCCCCTTGACTAAAGGAGACATACATGAAACAAAGGCCCAAGTCAAAAGCGAAGAAAGCTTTAGAAAATTGTCGGAGACGCCAAGAAAAAGAACTACTTTACCTATCAGCTAAAAAGTAGTAAAGGTCAACAAGTTGTTATAAAAGGAATCGAACCAGACGTAAGCACTGCTGATTTCGAACAGGCACTAAAGGTTTTAACGTAAAAACCGTTTCAAATATACGTAACCGAAACAAACAACCGCAACCTCTCTGTAAAGTGAAACTTGTACCTGACTCCAAGGCGCTTAAGAAAAACGAAGTCCATCTTATCTACAATCTCCGCTTTCTATTGCTTCGCAGAATCACGGTTAAAGAGCCGCATAAGCGCAATGGCCCAGTCCAGTGCGCAACTTGTCAGGAATAGGGACACACCAAATCTTACTGCACACTCCGCTCTGTATGCCTCGCTTGCGGAGGGCTGCATACCTCTGCTAAGTGTGAATTAAAAAATGAGCCAAATAGCAAAAAGTGTAGTAACTGCGGAGGAGACCACACAGCAAACTACAGAGGCTGTCCAATATACAAGGAGTTAAAAAGTCGGATCAACCAAAGAGTGTTAACAGCACGATCTCACCACACACCTTTAATACCCTCCAAATCCACACCTGAAGTTTTCTTTTCGTCAGCAGCCTGATCTTAAATAAAAACGTAAGTTTTGCAAGCGTTATAACAATGTCCAACCACCACCTACAGTCTATTCCCAACCAGCAGAGCACACAGAAAATAAAATGGAAACGATGATATTCAGATTACAACAAAAGTATGGATGAATTCATTGCATTATGCGAACGACCATGCAAAGTATGTTGACAAATCAAAATATTTTGATTTAGATGCTCCAAAACACCTTATCAAAATTGATTAATGGCTCCCCTGTGCATTGCACTGTGGAATGCCAAGGGTGTCTTACGGCACCAAGTTGAGGTTGCACAATTTATGAATGACAATGAATTCGACGTAATGTTACTTGCAGAAACTCATATTATTGACATACAAGAATACGAAAAAAACACTTGAAACAAGAAAGGAAGCTTCAAATATTTCGAACAGAATACACAAAGGCTAAAAAACATCGAAGCTGCGACGACTTTTCTATTAATTTTCCATATTTTTGACTATTGTTCATATGGCAGCTATATGATATAGTCGTCTGATTTTGGTAAAATTTAATTTGTTATTCAAAAATCGTTAGAAAACTATTTATTCCAAAAATCATGATTTTCTGAAGAGAAATAACGATGTTATCATTTTATTTCCGTTAATTCTATATAGATTTTTCGATCTTTCCTATAGTTGTCCAATTTTTATAAAAAATTTTTTATAAATCAAGGCCAGTTCAAAAACTTGATACTCAAAAAATCATAGTCGTGTGATGAAAATCAATGACGTTATCAATTAATTTCCATTAATTCTATATATATTTTTTGATCTCTCCTATGGCAGCTATATGATAGAGATATCCGATTTTGATAAAATTTAAACCTAAATTCAATAGTAGTTGGAAAACGCCATCTGGAAGAAATCAAGTCGATCTGATCAAAACCAACGGAGTGAGAATTTTTTTTCAATCTCTCTTATGGGAGCTATCCGATATAGTCGTCCGATCCGGCTCTTTTTCGGAACTTTTCGGAAAGTTTCAGCACGATAGCTTCAAACTGAGAGACTAGTTTACTTAGAAATAGATGGACGGACAGACGGACAGACGTACAGACGGATTTCGATTCAGATCGTGATGCTGATCAAGAATATCTATACTTTATAGGGTCTTAGGTGTCTCCTTAAGTGCGTTGCAAACTTCTGACTGAAATTAGAATACCCTTTGCTCTGCAAGAGCAATAATTTATAACTGAAGAGATAGGAATTTCACAAAATTTAATTAATAACCTCAAGTTTAGGAGTAAAAGGGAAAGACATAAAGATTTGTTAGGTAACGCTTGGAAATGGTTAGCTGGATCCCCCGACAGTAGAGATTTCAAAATAGTTCAAGAAAAAATAAATTCAGCATTAACTAACAACAACAATCAAGTTATTCTAATCAGACTTATCGTAGAAAAAATAAATAATATCACCAAATAATGCAAATGTAATAAATAGCTTAAAATACGGACGAAACTTTCAAACGGACACTAGCACAACATTAATGTTTAATTAAAATGCTTGCTACTGTCAATGACAACAGACGTGTTTTTATATCGTTCCGCCGTGTAATTAAAAATGCATCGTAAATAGCCGAATTCCATTTCGCGAAAAGATGCTGAGATAACGCATGGGTACATGTACTCGTGTTGCCTATGGAATGGAATGGAGTGCCGTGGAGTGCCCAATGCCCGTCCCCCGACCCCTTCAACATTACCAACGATCTGCTGATAACAACAACGACCAGCACAATGCCATCGTTTAAGACGGTGACATCGACACCAGCGGTGACAACAACCACTACAACAACCACATCAATTGCAGTTTCTGTTTCGTCAGCCCTTACTGACAAGCTAGCCAATACCCAACCCAAAAATAACAAAAATGTTAATGGATCGTTAATTCAAACCGGAATCGATCGGTACGTGCAAATTAAGAGAAAATTAAGCCCACAAGCAGCTAAAAAAAACAAAAGTCACGAAGAAAGTTGAAGCCACTGTACCAAACAATGCGCTAACAAGAAATCGATTTTCTATTTTGAGTGACCCAAAAGAAGATAATACCGCTCAAAAACCTCAGATCAAGCAACTAAGGCCACCACCAATCTTTTTACGTCAGGCAAATTGTTCTGAATTGGTCAAAAAAATAACTGATCAAATAGGAGCAAACAATTTCTATGTTAAATCCTTAAAAAGGGGTAACATAAATGAAACAAAAATACAAGTGAACAACGATCTGCTGCCAAACTACTACACCTACCAACTTAAAAGTTGCAATGGGCAAACAAGTAGTAATAAAAGGTATCGAAGCAACAGTCCCTATTTATGAGATCATAGCTGGATTTAAAGAAAAGGGCTTTAATGTCAAACAGGCTATGAATATATTAAATAAAAACAAAGTTCCGCAGCCAATGTTCAAGTTAGAGTTGGAGCCGGAAACTATGCAACTAAAAAATAATGAAGTCCACCCAATATATAAGCTTCAATATCTGCTGCACTGTAGGATCGCCGTTGATGAGCCCCACAAGCGGAATGGGCCCGTGCAATGTATGAATTCTCAGGAATACGGTCATACGAAGACTTACTGCACTACAGTCTGCGTTGCCTGCGGAAATTTACACTCAACTGAGTGCCCAATAAATAAGGATAACCATTCTGCTATAAATTGTAGTAATTGTGGGGAAAACCACACTGAAAATTACAGAGGTTGTCCTGTCTATAGAGTTGAAAAGTCGACTAGGCCAACACATAACTGCAGCTCGAAATCCTATAACCCGAAACAGTTCCCCATTTATATCATCGACCACGATCCCGGGAGTCTCTTTTGCACAGGCTTTAAGTAACAACAACGGGGCGAACGCCACAGTATCTAAGGTGACAGTTCAGCAAACTACTGCTGATACAGTGCGGCGACAAATATTGAACCAGATTCCAGAAACTACTGGCCAACATGCGAATGCAAATACACAATTGCCTAATGGCGTAGAGGCAATGTTAGTAACTATAACCAACACAATGGTAGCAATACAGCAAGCGCTGCAGGAACTTATGCGCTCTCAAAATCTCCTTTTGGAGCTATTAATTAAACAAAAATCGTTTATATGGTTACCTTAAAAATATGTTTCTGGAATGCGAATGGCATTTCTCAGCACAAATATGAGCTCTTGCAGTTCCTATATCAGTATGACATTGACGCCATGCTTATATCAGAGACTCACTTAACTAACAAAAACTACTTTCACCTAAATGGCTATTCATTTTATAAAACAAATCATCCACCATAGTTGCTAGGCTCAAGGAATTTGTACAGTTCTTTGACCTTTTAGGTGACCGTTTTATAGCGGCTGGTGATTTCAATGCGAAACACCCCCATTGGGGCTTTCGACTCACCAATACGAAAGAAAGACTGCTATACAACTCTATAATAACACCAAGAAAGTAGCTTGACCTTATCTCTCCAGGTAAGCCTACATATTGGCCAACAGATCCTAACAAGAAACCTGACCTGATGGATTTTGCCGTCACAAGAATAGTGCCTAGAGTTCATGTTCATGTGGAACACTTATCAGATCTTTCATCGGATCACTCGCCCATTTTATTTCTTCTCTACGACCATCCACAGCTTTCTAAACGAACACATGTTCTAACTTCCAGTAAAACAGATTGGCTTAAATACAGAAAGTGTGTAAGTACCCATATTGATGGCTTCCCAAACATGTACCAAAAAGAAGAGTTTGACAGCTCAGTTGAAGCACTAGTGTCTGTTATGTCACTAGCTGCTCAACACTTCACACCTATTATATCGGCTTGTAATTTTAATTCTAATTTTAGCAACAGTCGAGCTCCTGGGCATATCAACGAACTGCTACGCAATAAGAGAAGACTTCGGAGGGAGTGGCAAGCCCACAGATCGCCTGCCTCGAAGGAGCAGCTTAAAACAGTCAACTATCTTCTACGCACAGCCCTAGAAGATGAAAGTAATCGATCTCAATTATTCTATTTGCAGAATCTCTCCCCTAACAGCAGACGATATCCACTGTGGAAAGCTAAATCGGGTATATGTCCACCAATCGAAAGCGAATCGCCATTACACACACAAACAGGAGAGTGGGCTCGCAGCAACAAAGAGAGGGCGAATGTATTTGCGGCGCATCTGAAAAACGTCTTCAAACCGCTTCCATCAACAAACAGCTTTGTGCTCCCAACAATCATCACTCCTGCCTATCACATTCGAATCAAGAGAAGTGACAAGAGTGATAGCGGCTCAGCAAAAAAAGAAAGCGCCAGGACACGATCTAATCTCCCCTAAAATGATTATGGAGTTGCCGAGCTGTGCAGTAAATCTTCTCACCACGATATTCAACAGCATTATAAAAATAGGCTATTATCCACAACAATGGATAAAGTCTGTCATCACTATGATCCATAAAGTTGAAAAGGACAAGTCCCAGCCTTCATCATATAGGCCAATCAGTCTTCTGCCGTGCCTATCAAAGAAATTTGAAAAGCTTCTGCTGAATCGTATAAAAGAACACCTGCAGTCCCACAATGCCATCTCAAGCCACCAAGTTGGTTTCCGCGAGAAAAACGGAACCGTTGAACAAGTAAGCCGATAACCTCAGATATACGAAATACATTTGAAAGTCGAGAGTACTGTTCCGCAGTCTTTCTAGATGTCGCACAAGCCTTCGACCGCGTTTGGTTAGACGGCTTGATTTATAAAATTCAAAATTTGCTACCACAGAACACCCACAAAATACTGAAGTCATATCTTGTGCATAGAAGTTTCGCAGTACGGTGTAAAGATTTTCTCTCCGATTACCATCCAATCGAAGCTGGAGTACCTCAAGGAAGCGTGCTTGGACCAACGCTGTATATAATCAATAACTTCAACATTTGCTGATGATACTGCCATTCTAAGTCGATCTAAATGCCCCATCAGAGCAACGCAAAATCTATCAGCTCATCTCGGGCTTTTGGAGAAATGGCTATCAGATTGCGCATAAAGGTTAACAGCGTTGGGGATGTACTGGCTCCCAGACTCCGACTGTTTCAGGTTTAAAATGAATTTTGACTTTCCAGATTGCACGACGAAAAGAACCTTTCTAGCTCCGGTCATAATTGGAAAGCTCATTTTAAAAGAGGTGACTTTGTTCAAGGTGGCGAACAGCGAGGGAGTGCAGGTGCCAGCAGCGATTCTGGAGCGTTGGCGAGCGTTTCGCTCCGACCTCCCACGAATCGAGGACATCGCCGTCAGTCGTTGAACGGAGTACGATCCCGCCCTCGTAGCCGTTATGCAGCTGCATGCGTTCTGCGACGGGTCGTAGTATGCTGCCTCTGTCTACCAGCGAGTCGAGCACGTCAACGGGACCGTCGGCAAGACCTTGCTGGCAGCCAAGACGAAGGTCACGCCAATCAAGCCGTTAACTATACCTATTACAAAACCTATTACAGAACAGTAAATTGGCGGAGTTCCGGTGGAGACTTTCTTTTGGACGGACGCCACTATTGTTTTGCACTGGCTGAATGAAGACGTACAACGGTGGAAGACCTTTGTGGCCAACCGAGTCGAATTTATCCTGGACCATTCTGACCCAAGTCAAGGTCGGCACGTGGGTACCGAAGACAACCCGGCGGACTGCGTGACCAGATGATTGACACCTAAGGAGTTGCAGAACTTTACCCTCTGGAGGAGAGTGCTAGAGTGTGGTTGCCACGCGAGCGAGATTCTTGGCCGAAGCAGTTTCCCAGCTCGATTTTACAATTCGCTCCAGCGCTGGAAGCGAAAGCGGATAATCAGCACTCTTCTCCAGTCCCTGCATTTCATCCCAGCTCATGGGAGACCTGCCACTTTACCGAGTGGCAGCAGAGGCCTTTCGTCACGACAGGAGTCTATTATACCGTAGCCATTGTGCTAAGAGCGGCGCGGATTCGGGGGTCGAGTACATACAAAAACTATATTGCAGTGATGATTTGCCTCGCAACGAAAGCAGTTTATTTAGAGCTGGTAACCGGGCTCAGCACGGAGCACTTCCTGCTGGCATTCGATCGGTTCACTGGACGTCGAGGGATGGTTCAGCATCTTTATAGCGATAACGGCACCATCTTTGTGGGAGCAGACCGTCATCTTAAAGATTTTGTGAAGCAATTCCGCGATGACTATGAGACGCTCATCGCTCCGAAATGGTCCCAGCTACGAGTCACTTGGCATTTTAGTCCGCCTCAGTCGCCTATCTTTGGTGGGCTTTGTGAGGCCAACGTCAAATCGGTCAAGCACCATCTCAAGCGCGTGATCGCGGATCGAAAGCTTACCTACGATGAGATGACCACGGTGGTATTCAGCGTGCCCTAACTCAAGGCCTCTGTGCCCGCTCATAGCGGACGCAAATGGTTTAGATGTGCCCACTCGGGCCCACTTCTTAATTGGCGACTCTATGTATGCGCCTCCGGAACACCGACCAGGAAGCAGTTCCTGCTTCAGTAATCAATGTTGCGACATTTTTGGGACGGCTGGAGAAGGGATTAGCTTAGCCATTTGCAGCAGCGTCCGAAATGGTCCAAAAACTTGAAGAACATAAAGTTGGACGAGTTTGTACTCGTCAAGGACGACAGATTTCACCCATTGCAGTGGCTGCTCGGAAGAATTCTCGGGTGACGCTAAAAAGTCAATCTGAGCATTGCACTGCATCGCGACGCTAACGGAGGTGCGTTATTCTTTTTGATTGCTTTTTATATATTACCCACTTGAAAACTACAAATATGTACAGGCAGGCTCCGGTTTTCACTTTTTTTTTCGTTTTCGTTTTTGGGCGAAAACGTACGTTTTCGTTTTAGGTTCTCCGGTTTTCACAAAATTTTTGTCATCGTTTCGTTATCGGAATGGTTCATTTTCTCATCTTTTCTCACTGTTCAAATAGCTGACTTGTTTTTGTAATTAAAAGTAAACAACGCGAAAAAATGCCTTTCACATTTTCAATTTCACTTTTCAATTTCGAAGCCAAAAGAAGGCAGAAATTGATTGATTTGAGAAAATCGAGATATCTTAGATCCAAAACATGTGTTTTTAATATGTCTGACGATCGGTAAGTCTCATTCACAGATATTTAAAATACCTCTAGTAACTTAAAATTTTACAGGTTTGTTAAATCATTTAGGATCGATAAAAATACTTTTAAAAGCATTTTGGAGACAGTCAAGCCATATTTAAAAGTAACCACACTGTCACACTCAATGCAACTGGCTGCTGTGTTGCGATACCTTGCTACTGGCTGCTACCAGTTTTCAGTGGCCAAGGACCATCACATAAACATTGGACGAAGCACATTCGGAAAGATTCTGCACATATCTATTCCGTTGATGGACAGGCTTCTACGTAAGGATGCTATTTCCCTCCAGATGTCCAGGCAACTAATGAAGAAATCTTCCGAATACTTCTTCAGAAGGTATCAACTGCCAAAAATAGTCGCCTGTGTGGATGGAACTCACAAAAAATTCAGAAGCCTGTAAACAATTCCTGTGTTTTCTTTAATAGAAAGGATTATTACAGCATGAACGCCATGGTTGTAAGTATATCGACCAAATCTGTTAAGGGGTTATATCCAGTTGCGAGGCCGAAAAAATGAGCGTTTTTGTAAATTATTTCTGGAGAGGCCTTTTATTGTAAATATATGTGTTATATATGAAAAGTTAGATAATTTTGTAGTTTCAGAATATATTTTCAAAAAAAAAAAAATGTTGGAGTCCGTCGATCCTGTAGAGGATCTCCTGAGGGTCCACTTAAAAAAGGTGTTTTGCGGTGAGGAAGATATCTCTGATCCAAATTATAAGAAATACAAAAAACCAAAAGGATTACGTAAAGAATAGACAAATACTGGTAATGACGCGGGGAATTTTCAAAATTTTGATTTTAAACATAATGGCGGCTTCCCAAACATAAACTTCGTTTTCGGCACAAAAATTTCAACTTTGAAGTGACTAAAAAAATATAAATTTACGTCGGAGCCAAAATTCCCCGCGTCATTACCTGAAAAAAATATCTAAGAAGAGCCTGTGAAAATTTAAAGCCAATCGGTCAAGCCGTCTCGGAGAAATTTTCCTCACCGACTTTGTAAACATAGTTTCAAGCAAAACGCATTTAAAGTTTTGGCTACTAGTTGAACTACGTCGGAGACTTCTTTAAAAATACACTCATTACTCGAAAACTATTTAAGGGAATACTTTGAAATTTTCAGACAATGTTCTCAAATATATATATGTACATTCAAAATAGGCAAAAAAATTTCGATTTTTTCAAAACTGGATATAACCCCTTAAATGAAGTTATGTAAAAACCTTTTTATTTCCTTAGGTTTGCAACTATAATATGGAGATCATCGCCATTGATGCCACTCACCCTGGGTCCTGCCATGACTCTTTTATTTGGAACCACTCCGACGTCAGGGAATATTTCTCCAGGAATATAAACGGGCATTTTGTTTTGGCGGATTCCGGATACGCCCTAGAGAGTTTCGTCTTAACTCCCTTCAGGAGCGCAGAGATTGGGACGCATCAGCATACTTTTAATTTAAGACATACAGGAGCCAGGAATATTATCGAACGGCTTAAATTACGAGGCAGTTTTTTGTTGCCGTATTATTAAGGGGTTATATACCTTTTTCTCCAGAGAAATACAGGGTTTTTATTTATTTTTTTTTAGCATGTTACCGTTATTTTATTTAAATACAATACAAATTTTATCAAAGTACGTGTCCTTAAGTAAATTCGTATAAAATTTCAAGAGAAAATTTTTATAATTGTGGAAGTTATAGTCCTTGCCGCAGAAGTCCTTTTTTCAATAGTGGCTAACGGTGAGAATGAAAACAAGAAAACGGCTCAACTTAAAAAAAAAAAAAAACTACGTTAGTATATAGTGTTACCTAGTTCGTGAAGGAAGGATTTTACGAAAAAAATGTTTTTACAGTTACAGTGATTTTTTTTCAATAAAGCCGATTTTACGAGGTCTAATAATTTATTTTTTCGCCCCAAAAAAATAGAAAATTTTTTCGAAAATAAAATTCCTTCGTTCACGAACTAACTATTGTATCTACAAACAATCCCCCAAAATTTCAAATCGATAGATGTAGTGGTTACCGAGATATCGTGCTCACCGCAATGATCTTTTCTCAAAAATGCGATTCCGAGATAATCGCGTTTAAAGTTTTAGGTGGACATTAGGTAATCCGTACTAGACGTCTGCATGATTACATTCATAACATACGTCTAAATGAATACATTCGAATCGAATAGAATGGAGTGAGTGGAATGATGAAAATGAAATGACATTGTACTTATGACAGGCTTGCACACATTCCTCTCTTAATTCAAGACGTCAAACGAAATGAGAGTGAATGAACGAAATGAAAAGTGAAATGAGAGATTTGGCTATGCGTTGAATACTCGAATCATTCGAGTTCTTGCTTAGGATTTCTGTACATTCCTTTCTTGAGAACTGCAGCACAAAGTCAAAAAATTTTGCATTCCAGCGAGCAGCGCGGCTTCGGAACGTACATTTTCAAACGCAAGAAATTTTTACAGAATAATTACAGAAAATCGTTGTCAAATAGCCACTAATTCGGAAAATATTAACAAAATAATGTTTATGCATTCCAATTTAAATTAGTTGTAAGTAATTGTTAATTTAGAAATAAATAAAATAAAAAACCATAAATAATAAAGCCTTTTCGGACTCGAAGAAAATTCACTGCATTTAATTGGTTTTTATTTCCTTTTATTTACATTTGCAACTCGAATCATTCGAATGCAACGTCTCTGTTTTCAACGTTCTCAATTCACTCAATTCGTTTCCTTCTACCTGCTAGTTGTGCAAATGAGTAAGCGAAAGAGAGTCAACCCTCTCACTTCATGTTGGCTTTGCTCTCAAATTCACTCAACTCATTTTGAGCATTGTGCATTTGAATGTGGGTTTTTTGCCACTCATGCAGATGTCTAGTCCGTACACCGTTTGTTGAATTGTTGAAAGTATGTAGGGTAAGATGGGGTAAAACCGCCAAAAATGTATATTTGACGATGTCAAGCTTTCATTTATAAAATGATCAATGATCCAAATCATATTTCTGAAAGTTTAATCCCTTGGCTACATAATTCATTAAGAAAGTTTTTATGTAGCTTTTTTTTTAAAAGAATTGTGATCGTTCAGAAGAAAAGTTTAAAACGGCGGTTTTACCCCACCTAGTGGGGTAAAAACGCCATTCTGGTTTTAGTGTAGTTAAGTACCCAAATAATGTCAATAACTTCTGAGAAAAATTTTTATTCAATTCAAATGGATATTACATGTTACAACGAATATATTATATAAAAGTAAAAATAAGAAATTGAAGCGAAGTCATAAGCAAGTCGTCGAACTGCTGTCCGAGAGAAACCATGAAACATAGCTGATGCTTTTATGAGATATTTCTCAAGCGATGCCTCTTGGTCGTCAGTAAAAATCTGTAAAATAAGAATTACGTGGTTAAAATAGTTTTAAACTAAGAAGAAATGTCGCATTAACAAAGGTTTGAAACTGAAAATTAAAATATTCTTATTTAAAAGATAAAATCATTTTATACAAAACTGTTTGCAATTATCTGTTCAAAAAGAAAGGCTGTTATTTTTAAATTGAATTGAATTCAAAATCATGACATTACATATTGTTTCAATTAACAAAAATTGTGAATATTTGACACTTTACCTGGGGATGATGGCCATAATAAGCGTTGTGCGCTTTGTTGACTCGGTCTCGCAAAGTCTCTCGGGGAATCCCATATTTTTCGGCAGCAACTGCCACCTTGCTGCCCTCCTGAACTTCCTCGATTGCCCGTTGAAATATATTTTCATCAATTTTTGATTTTTTTCTTGCGAGGCAGGATGGTGAAAGACATTCATTCTCGATTAAAACGAGTTTTTCCGTTATCAAATTGTGTGGCGTTTTTACCCCACCTTTTCGCGGCGTTTTTACCCCACGCGCCAATTTTTTTCGAGGTCACTTAGTTTGTACAATTTTGGAAATATTGGCTAACTTGATACATGTACATCAGTATCAAGGTTCGTACTATAAGCGGACACTTACCTCTTTTTTTTTAAGCCGTTCACTTACACTTGATTGAGCAATCTTTATAACAAAAATTTTTTGGCGCCGTCGAGTGAAACAAAAATGGCGCTAAAGAAATTGTCACGATAAAGCTGCAGTATTCCGACCGACTTCAAAAACCGCGCATTATCAATCAGAATCTACATTATCAACGGTTAATCGTTTCGGCGCTTCATTTGAATTTGAAATCCAAATGGCGGTTTTACCCACCGGCGGTTTTACCCCATCTTACCCTACATCAAAAAAAATCATACATTTTTTTTCGATTTTTTGAGCTTGAAAAGGGTTTATAACCCCTTAATGTATGCTGTGCCTTGCACAACATTTGTAGAAGGCAAAATGTGACAATTACAGAGGAATATTATTTTGACGATACAGAAGAGACTTCAGACGAAAATTAACAAGAGGGAAATAATGGCGGACAATCAGAACGCGACGAAATTGCTCTGTCTCTTCCAGTATAAACTATAAATAATAACTGTAAATAAAACATCTTGACATTTACTTAATCTGTTTATTCTCCTAGTTTTTTAATAATCTCACTGAATTTTTAGAGGAGCTCTCTCTTTAACTCCAGCCTTGTTTTTGGCTATCTTCTTCCGGATGTTGGACTTCCAGTCGCACCAAACCTGGAATATTTTTCTTTGATATATTAGCTTTCTTTTATATAGTAATTAATAGTCATACCTTCTTCCATCCTGCAACGTCTTTAATGGGAGGCCCAATTGCGTTCAACGCGCCAGCAAGATCTGCCCACTTCGCCTCTGCAGCCACTCGATCTCCTTTGACAAAGCCTCGGGCCAGATCTGGCTTGCCTTTCATAAAATCCAATATGCTTCCCCCTAAAACAATAGCTTTGCATTTAGTTTTAAATACACAAATTAAGTTGTCTTACTTACATTTCCAAAATTTCAAATAAGTTGCTCCCAGAACGGGCTGCCACCTTTTTTGCAGATTTCATTCCACTATTCTCAACAACTTTTTTACTACACTTTTGCCATTTATGAAACGAAATTAATCATATTTATTTATAAAAAGCTTATTTAACTTTTCTTTACAAACATTTTAGCTTCATTTTCATTTTATAAGTATTTTTAAGTGGTTGTTTTGTTCCACTTCAAGTACGGCAGCACTGACGATAACTTTTGGCAATAGATTTATCGGCCCCTTAGAAAAACGAAAGTTGATGTTGCCGACGGCAAATATTTTATGTATGAAATCAAGATGGGGTCAGAAAATAATTATTAAAAAAATAAATACGAATTAGATTGACCTACTGATGATGTGAAATGAACATCAATAGACCAAGGAGTCAACTATTTTTTTCCGTTTGCAATTAAAAACCGTTTTGATGTAGAAAAAGGCATTTACTTTTCATTTCGACAAAAAAAAAACTTGCCCGTTTTTGAAAACGAAAAAATCTTGTGAAAGTGAAAACGGGAGCACCAATTTGGTTTTTTTTTTTTTTTAGTAAAAAAGTAAAAAGTGTAAATTTATTAATTAACGGGTATACTGCTACCTATGTGGCAGCTTGAGCAGGTTGTAACTATAGGGGATAACAAAGGGTTGGTATACAGAATTTACATACCGTTCAAATTCAATTATTTTTCAACGGGCATTGCAAAACTGTCTGAAATCTTTTTAATACAGTTCAGAAACTTTCGTTTTTTATATAACAAGTGTTAGTCAGTCAGAATTCTGTCCAATACTCAACAGCTGATTACTTTTCCCGCCAATTTGGTGAATGTGGATATCTGAATTGGTTGTGCAGTTTCTCATCCAAATATAAATAACAAAAAAAATGTGTAGTTGATTTAAGGGGTTACATGGGTTTCACGGTTTCAAAAAATCGATTTGATTTTTTTTTGTCTTATTAAATTTTATAACATTTCTAGAATATTGTCCTAAATTTTCAAGTTGATCCGAGTAAAAGTCTCGGAGATACAGCCTTGAGAAGGTGGACGCTTGAGACCACTTTTATTGTCTCTTAAAACTTTAAACGCGTTTTTCTCAAAACTATGTTTTCAAAGTCGGTTGTCAAAATTTCTCGCAAACTACTCAACCGATCTTAATGAAACTTAACACAAGTATTCGAGATATCATTTACAAGGTATTGAACGAAGGATTTTTTTTTCAATTACAACTATTTAAAAAAAAAAATGTCGAGAAATTTTCATCGAAATTTGCATTTTTTGTAAAAACGTCTGCCAAAAATCCAATTTTCATTTTTTTTTTTTCCTTCGTCCAATACCTAGTTTATTGTCTATACTGAAACACGTTTTTTTTATTTTTACTTTGGATGATCCTGAAAGAAGTTCTGCTGACAACGCGGAGGCACCTTTTTTCCGAGGGACTGCCGGAAATGGCGTCGTTAGATAATAAAAAGTTTCATTGAAATATTTCATTTTTTATATGCAAAAAAAATGTTTGAAAAAAGGCCGTTTTTTACCCGAGGAAACCCATGTAACCCCTTAATTTATATTTTTAAACAAGTAAATATTATATTTAGTTATATATTGTCGA